TATATATATATATATAAGTTAACATAGAAGTCAACACTTAGAGGCGACAGTTTGTTTCATGCTAGATGCAATCGTCTGGCCACGAGAGTATATATATATATATATATATATATATATATATATATATATATCAGAAGGTACTCGATACCTTTCTCTGTCTTCCCAAGAGCCGGATCTGACCAAAAATGAAATATTTCTGCCAAATCTGGACTAGAGGTGCTCATATCTTTCCAGCGTTGAGATGGTTTAAAAGGATTTACCTGGTACTGTTGGTGATGCATTATTTTCCATCGTAAAAGTCATTTCCTACAAGCTAAAAAAATGTCTATCCTCTCGCTATGTTCATGGTAGATATTCAAACGAGCTACATTCTATAATTCCATCAAAATATGTCTTCACATTTGGACCTATATTACCACACATACACAGTCGACTCATTCGTTTGATATTTCATTGAGTAGAAGGAAGATCCTCTCAGACAACAATTTCACCAGAACTGTCACTTTGCGGGACAGACTCTCGAAAATATGCTTCATGGGTCACCACAGGCTGAAGGCCATATCATTTTGAAATATCCGTTCTTGTATTATCACCGAAGTTAAGCAACGACAAACCTGGTCAGTATCTAAATGGGTAACCGTTTAAGAATACCAGTTACTGTAAGTTTGCATATTCTGCCGGTGTAATGTATGACGGCGCGGAATTCTTAATAGGAAAGCCGAGTTCCAACTCCAATGGTGTTCGTTGTATTCAATTACGCGAAACTTCACTTGGGAAAGGCATGAAACAACATCTCCGCCACAATTGTGCGTTATGTAGTAGGAATTTAGCAAATCATTACTATCTCCAAAATAATACATCTGAAATAATTTGTGGCTTTAAACAAACTGCAAACGGTTGATAAACCATAAAAAACAAAGCAGTTATTCAATCACTAGCAGCATGGCCCGGCGTTGCCTGTGCTTGATTAAAAAATAGTACGACTCATACAGCAATCGCTATCACTTGACTTAAAATATTTTTGCCCTTCCTTGCCTATAAAGGAGTGCCCTTTGCCGTGCTGATGTTGCTTACATGCCTTACTTCTTGCCTATCTCACACTGCGAATTTTTTCTAAGCTCTATACTAAACATTAAATCTGTTACGAAAAAAGAACTAAACAAAATGAACACAAAACGATCAGCTTTAAAAAAAGGCCTCGTAACTGGAAAAACCGAATGAAAAAAGAATGTTAACAACAAATAATTTTTCACACCCAACCCAGTTCTGCGGAATCAGAATCAACGTTGAGTTTAAGCAAGCGAATGAGCCAACTGGAGTAAAGTGTCATGCAGATTTAAATTTTTCCCACTTGTGACGAATGCAGCTATCGATTTTTTTTGCATGCTAACATGCTAGTTAACATTCGTGTCAGTCAGCTGTTGGCTCTCATGCTGGCCAACAGAATTTTCCTGCCAATTCGTGGCAGCCAGCTATTGTCTCTCACTCTGGCCAGTACAAAATGGCCTACATGAAAACTGCCGTAGAAGCATGAAAAAATCGATTATTTCCACTAGCTTTGGGAAATGCAACGTCGGTCTTGGCCTTCCCACTAACTTGGAGCATGTTCATGTAAATTTTGGTGCAAATCCGTCGAAAATTGCAGCCGTGCGTTCGTTACACACACACACACACACACACACACACACACACACACACACACACATCCTGCCTTTTATAGATAGAGATGACATTTATCACTAGAATCTTAACTTCTTTAAATCAAATCAACTGTTATCCATCCTATATATTTTCATAATATTCCGCTCTTATTTTCTTATTTTATGTAATTTCAGAACCTCATTCAGTATTTAATCGAAGGGTTGTTGGGTTTGGTTTTTTGAACTGTGAATAATTATTTCGCTGTTTTATGGTAGAAGATGTCGCTGGGCGGTTCAAATATTACGATCGAATTAAAAAAAAAACATAATTTGAAGATTTAAAAGTTTCGTGCGCAATATCTTCCAAGAAAGTACTCTTCCGACCTGACATTGACATCCCAATGGGGGAAAAAAACTGACTGGTTACATTCAATGCCTCGAAAACCAAACTAATTGCATTTCATCAGACCCTGAACTACCGCCATTCACGGTGAACAGATGGCCCCACCGGGAGTCCTCCTGCTTTCAGAAAAAATTAGGCTTCAAATTCAAACCCGACTTCAAGTTCAACTTATCTACGATACATCGCTAAAGATGCAGGTAAAATGACAATCTATCCACTACCCTGTATATGACCCAGATGAGACCAAAAATGGAGTACTATTGCTATATATAGGCGGGAGCTGCTAGTCCTCACTTTCTAGTTATGAAAGAGTCAAAAAGCTTCTCTGAGTCTTTGCGGGCGAAGAATTATTTTCCAGTCTCTAAGCTCTTTCTTACATGCAGGATATTGCGGATCTCTCACTGTTCTATCGTTAATTCCATGGTAAATGCAGGGAAGAACTACATGCCTTGATTCCGCTTTGTCGGGCCTTCACGGCTAGGACCCGCCATGATACTTATGCTATTCCCTCTCTATTTCATCGGTGAGAAGATCCATTCAAACTTCCTCCTGCAAACCACAGTTTATTTCTGTCCGACTTCCTTCCTTTCTTCCTTCCTTTCTGTCTTTCTCGCTTTCTTTCTTTCTTTCTTTCTTTCTGTATTTTAGTTCTCATGTCAATGTTTTCTTTCTTTCTATCGTTATTTCTTTCTTTTCATTTTTAAAGAAAACTGGAAAGTGAGGATTAGCAGCTCCCGCCTAAATATGGCAATAGTACTCCATTTTTGGTCTTATGTGGGTCTTATATAGGATAGAGGATAGCCGGTCATTTTACCTGCATCTTTAGCGATGTATCGTAGATGAGTTCCACTTAAGGTCGGGTATGAGTTTGAAGCTTAATGTTTTCTGAAAGCAGGCGGACTCCCAGAAGGGCCATCTGTTCATCGTGAATGGCGGTAGTTCAGGGTTTGATGAAATGCAATTAGTTTGGCTTTCGAGGCATTGAATGTAACCAGTCAGTTTTTTCCCCCACTGGGATGTCAATGTCAGGTCGGAAGAGTACTTTCTTGGAAGATATTACGCACGAAACTTTTAAATCTTTAAAATATTTTTTTTAATTGGATCGTAATATTACAACACCCCAGCGACATCTTCTACTATAAAAGAGATAATTAACAGGTAAAAAATATGATTAAATAGTATTATCCAATTTCTTCTTACACCATTGTTCAACAAATACCAAACCCAACAACCATTCGACGTAGAATGTTACTGAATAGGGTTCTGTAATTACATAAAATAAGAAAATAAAAAAGGCATATTATGAGAATATATAGGATTGATAACAGTTGATTGGATTTAAAGAAGTTAAGATTCTAGTGATAAATGTTTTCATTGAATAACTGCTTTGATTTTTTATGGTTTATCAACCTTTTGGAGATTCCGCCTGGTCTGGCCTTCAGGGCTATGACCGGCCATTCTACTGCTGCTATTCCTTCAGTATTTCATCGGTGAGAAGTTCCATTTAAATTTCCTCCTGCAAGCCACTGTCCTGTGGAACAGACACCCAAGAGGATGTTTCCTCGATCACTATAATCTTAACCTGTTCAAGTCTAGAATTAACCGTTATCTTCTCTTCTCCGTATATACTATAACTTAACGAAACTCTCTATCACGTGTGGTCACTGGACCCTGTACGGGGTGAGCCTCACTGTAAAATAAAAAAAGAAAGAAAATATATCTGACAATAAAGAGTTGTATATATCTCTGAGATGAAGTATCATTATTACTTGCATTAATTACATTAGTCGGACTGTTATCCTCATCTTCATTGCCATATTCACAACAGGATAAAGACGTCGGTTAGATCCAGTGACTAGATCCAAAGAGTTGTGAGTTCACTACCAAGCCACAGAATTAGTAAACAAAAACCTTGGAGAATTGATTAAAGGAAAAAAAAAAGAGAGACATCCGGAAGAGGCATGGTACGTCTAAGTGGAACAATCTACCCCGGTGGACGAAATAAAGTGTTCGGGTCGAAATTCCAAACACCTGAAGAAGACCGGAGCGTACAACAGCCGAAACGTTGTGAATATGGCCATGAAGATGAGAATAACAGTTCGAATACTGCAAATAATGCAAGCAATATAGAGATAATGCTAATTCGCTTTGAATAAAAACTTTACCCTAACACTGTTCAAAATATAAATTTACGTTAAAAACTATCGTTCTTAGGGAGATACTAACTCGGAAAACATCTTGGATTCGTAGGTCCTTTTATTGCCTTGTATAGACGAGGTCTGTTTATAGCATGTCTGTTGAGAATGATTGGACGCTACAACGGTGAGTAGCGGAATTCTAGGTTTTATTGGGATGCACAGAAGAAAATGTGTGACGATAAAAGAAATTTCATACGAATACCCGGTCAGTAGCTGAACGAAAATAAATCCATAAAAATTCATTAGTCGCCTGGAGTGTTGTATTGATACTTACTCGGTAATGACCAAGTATTGGTTTCAAAAGGACCGAAAGTGGTTGAGCGAATAAAACAGGTCGAGGTGTCTAAATATTTTGTCCTAAAAGAAGAAACAGATTGAATATATATGAGATAATAGAGATAAAAGAAAATAAAGAAAAATAGTACTGTAACATAAAAGAAAGAAAGAAAGCGAGAAAGAAAGAAATAAAGGAAGGAAGGAAGGAAGGAAGGAAGGAAGGAAGGAAGGAAGGAAGGGAGACGGACAGAAATAAGTAAAGAAAGAATTTTGACGTGGGATTTAACGTGGAAAGAAAGAAAGAAAGAAAGAAAGAAAGAAAGAAAGAAAGGAAAAGCAACGAACGACATCGAATTTGGAAATAACATGAAAAATCTGGAAGAATAAAAAAAAAACATTGACGCGGGAAGTAACCTGAAAAGAACGAAAGAAAGAAAAAAAGAAAAAGGAAAGAAAGAAAAGGCATTGATGTGGGTAATAACCTCAAAAGAAAGAAAGAACTATAATCTGGGAAATAATATGGAAGAAAGAAAGAAAGAATGGGTTATAATCTAAAAAGAAAGAATGAAATAATGAAAAGAAATAAAGAAAGAAATAACGAAAGAAAGAAAGAAAACACTGACGTGGGAATTGACATGAAGGAAGGAAAGAAAGAAAGAAAGAAAGAAAGAAAGAAAGAAAGAAAGAAAGAAAGAAAGAAAGGAAGGAAGAAAAAAGAAAGAAAAAACATTGGCGTGGGATATAAAATGAAAAGAAAGGAAAAATGAAAAGAAAGAAAGAAAGAAATAACGATTGAAATAAAGAAAACATTGACATGAGAACTAAAATACATGAAGAAAGAAAGGAAGGAAGAAAGAAAGAAAGAAAGAAAGAAAGAAAGAAAGAAAGAAAGAAAGAAAGAAAGAAAGACAGAAGAAAGACGGACAGAAATAATAAAGAAATAATTTTGACGTGGGATTTAACGTGGAAAGAATGAAAGAAAGAAAAATCAACGAACGACATCAAGTTCGGAAGTAACAGGAAAAATATGGTAGAATGAAAAACATTGACGCGGTAAGTAACGTGAAAGGAAAGAAAAAAAAAAGGAAAATCATTGATGCGGGTAATAACCTGAAAAGAAAGAAATATAAATTGGAAGCTAATAAGAAAGAAAGAAAGAAAGAAAGAAAGAAAGAAAGAAAGAAAGAAAGAAACTGAGAAAAACAGAAAGAAAGAAAGCAAGAAAGAAAGAAAGTAAAAAGAAAGAACATTGACATGGGTTATAACATGAAAATAAAGAAAGGAATATTGAAAAGAAATAACTATCGAAAGAACGAGAGAAAGGAAGAAAACTTTGCTGTGGGAACTGACATAAAAGAAAGAAAGAAAGAAAGAAAGAAAGAAAGAAAGAAAGAAAGAAAGAAAGTAAAAAGAAAGACAGAAAGAACATTGGCGTGGATTATAAAATGAAAAGAAAGGAAAAATAAACTGAAAGAATGCAATAACGATAGAAAGAAAGAAAACATTGACGTGAGAACTAAAATAAAGGAAGGAAGGAAGAAAGAAACGAAGGAAGGAAGGAAAGAAAGAAAGAAAGAAAGAAAAAGAACGAAAGAAAGAGAGAACTACAAATTTGGAAATACTATGAAGAATCTGAAAGAAAGAAAAAAACAAAAGAAAGGAAGAAAGAAAGGAAGAAAGAAATAACATGACATGAGAAGTAACGTTAAATGAAAGAAAGAAAGAAAAATGGAAGGAAGAAACAGTAATCAGAAAATAAAATAGAAAATAAAGATAACAATGAAAGAAAATAAGAGATTCCAACCAAAAAGGAAATGTAAAAATTTTAAAAAATAAATAGAATTTCGCGTTCAGGCATAAGAGAAAAAAGAAAACGAAACTGGAATGCAGAGAAGGGAGAAAACCAAAGAAAGAAAAAAAAAGCAACTTGAATTAAATCAAGAGAGAGGCGAATTAAAAAAAATAAAAATAAAACGAAACAAAAATCATACGCAGTCATGAGAAATAAATACATTCTAATAGTAAATTTAGCCGTTACCTTATAAGGAAGCATTCGGTAAGCATTGACCTTGCAGCCAATGTTAACGTCGATTGAAATTTATAAAGTCTTTCTCTTAAAACAATTTTTCAATAAAAAAGAATTCCTCAAGTCCAATAACTCTTATTTCTCCTTCCATAATTGATGGGGACTTCCTTCCAATATGTCGATATTTTCTCTTCCAGTTACATGTCTCTCCATTTATAGGTGTGGATTTTATATATGACATTCCTCAATTGATATGTTTTCTGTCATTTGATACAACTCTTTATTTGTGTAGTGCCAGTCCACAAGATTCAAAGAAAGATGAACCTTGTCATGACCTACAGGCTTCTTTCACTCGAAGTCATTTTAAGCATTAAAACAGTTTTATTAGAGCTCATAATTTAAAAATTTTGAAACAGGTTTAACGCCATTATTCACATTCTCAGTTAATTCTTGATCTGATGAAGATATTTAAGAGTATGACTCGATATGTTAATATTATGTTTTGTTTTTGTAGCAATTCGTGGTTTAGGGTGAAACTACCCCTCGCGTAGTCTATTCTATGTCCAGTTTATTTATCGCCTATTAAATTTGTTATAAGTGATCCAAATATCAATGTATTTGAATTGTTTAGTATAGGGACGTTCAAAATTTCGATAAAAAAAAGAGCATACGATAATGAAAAAGGCGCCAAACTTGATAAAAACAAAATTTTATCGTGAAAATCGTTGTTATTATTAAGAGGAAAGATCAAAATATTATTTTGATTATTCCATTAAAAAATTAAAAGCCTTTCTAACACGTTCGGAATCTAGATTAAAAGTCTTCTTTTTCTTGTGTCAGTGGATGAGCCAAAGATTAGTAAGTGAAACTTAGTGTCCTTTTTATCAGGTAAAAACTTATTGTTTTGGAAATTCTTTCAAAAATCAAAAAATTGTTCAGGATTTATTCACAAATGAAGGAAATTAATGGATGAATCTTTTGTTTTTCGAAAGTTTTAGTAAAAATCTTATTTTTTACATATGACTTCCCCACTTAATTAATTTTATGAAATTTTAATTATAATAATTTAAGTTTTAAAATTCTGTATTTATTTCACCATTTCAGATAATATCATTAGTAAGTAAAAATTTGTATTTACTATTTATTAAAGAAATTTGAATTTTCTATATGTGAATAAGCTTACTTATTTCTGTACGGTGGCACATACGCGACAGAAAATGAGAGCAATAATTATACTAAATTTAAAAACCAGAAATTATCGACAATTCAGTAAAATATTTGATTACAGAGAATATTGTCTAATTTTTTCAGATTGATGAGTACTTAAAAATTTTATATAAAAGGGGCTCCTGGTATATCCATTTATTTTTTACGACTAAAACCTCCATAGAACAACATTATCAAGCTGGCAAAAAAGCGAACAGCTTAAAATCACAATCACTATAGACTAAAAAAAATACCTTTCTGTGATATTTTAAAAATTAAAGTATATAATATTTGTTTTTAATCAAATTAATTATACTTTAAATCAGCTAATTTTCTTCAGATAAATTTTCATGAAAGAATATTTTATTTTTGAAAGATTTTTTAATAGGAGAATGACGTTGCCATGAAAATCAACAAGAACGACTAGGAAAAAAGGCGCTAATCAGCTATTTTTGCAAAAAAAAAATCTTTCCAGTTAATTTAAATTAATTTTTGGTTCAGAGCAAAGTATTTTACTAATTGTAAATATTAAATTTAATCTCTTAGTTTGAAAGTAACACTAAAATAAACGTCCCCAAAAAGATTTTCATTGTTAAAAATTTATTTTAAACTTCAGGTATCGTGTTTTTGTGGTTCTAATTAGTTTACTATTTACTAATTACACATCCTGAAATTTTATGATAGATTCAGAGTAGGTGTCATCCCCGAGTTCATTCTAATTTCAGATCACAGTTTATTTAGCAATGATTTAACTTAAGCTCTATTTTTTGGAATAGCTGATAGAAAATCTTGATTTACTTATGCTGCTAAATAGTTGGATGAATGAAATGTGAAGAAGAAAAAGAAAGATCACCTGCGTCTATTATTTTCATAATGTACCTGCGGACTATTTTCCGCATCTGAGTTGTTGTTGCCTATCCACTAGGTTATTTTCCGATGTGACAATTCTGTGTTGAGAACTGGGAGTCTTAAATTTAACTGATATACACCCTTGTGCAAATTACGTGAAACAAAACGAATAATTTTGTTGTTATTTACATTTTTCGTTTTTTTTTCTTCAATGAAACATGGCTCAGTGCATATGTTAGTGCTTCATATATCCATTACACGAAGTCTTTCCTTGCAGATTAACCACAAATTCTCGATTGGATTTAAATCAGAAGATTTTTCCAAGTCGGTCGATAGTACTTAAATTTTCTCACTGGTAAGGCTTTCTATTGTGTACGTGCAGCATTACAATATTCTTACGCTTCCTTGGAGTAACATCCATCGCAGACAATAGCCATAGGACAACTAATCGATAGTCGAGACAGTAGTGTCTGGGTGTGATGGAAAACTGATGCAATCATGGATGACGCAATATTTTTCAAGGCCAAACAAATTTTATCATACACCCCGAAAATAGATTCACATTACTGCACACGACTGCAAATGACCTAATCTGTTGAAAAAATAGAAATCGATTACACCCTTTTACTCCAGTGGGTCTAAAACTGACCGTATGGTGAAAGAAAGAAAACGAAAGAGGTTGTCTCAATTAATTCGCACAAGAGAGTATATAACTTGGTGACATGGTAAATGTGAATCCAGTCCTTGGTTTGGGCAGTGTGTACTTGAACGCATTGATCACGGAGAGAACAATAACAAGGCAGTCCTAAAAATAAGTACGAAATGAGATATCATTAGTCATATGCAGTGGGACAAGAACAGTCTACTCGCGTAGATTAAGTAAAATGCTCAGTCCGGGATTGTCTGGAACTCGTACGTCCGTTCGATCGCTAAAGGTATTGAAAAAATGGTCGGCCCCTTGGACCGTTGTTTTAAGAACCTGAATCCTCCCGCTATCCCCTATATTTAAAAGAGACAGATCAGACCGAAAATGGTGTACTTTAGAGATATATGGACAATAGTAGCTCGGTTTTCACTCTCCTTTTCCGCCGACTTATTTTCCACTATGTAATATCTTTCCCAATGACAAAAACTCACGAGATACTTACTAATCTATCGCGATTTCCATGGAAAATGTTCAGACCTACATCTTTTACTTCAAAAAATTCTAACCTTCAGGGCTAATACACGTCATACTACGAAAAACTTGCGCACAGCCCTCATCCACTTTGTATTCCTTTGGGGAAATGTCATTTCCACGCGAGCAGCTTCTTCCCACGTACTATTGTTTTGTGGAAAAGATTCCCAAGAGGTTAATCCCCATTCACAACAATCTTAACCTGTTCAAGTTTATGTTATCATCCCCGTATATTCGTATAAACTCTGCTTCTTACTCTGTAGCCTACAAACTTGAGTGTTTCTTGGGCATTGTACAGGTTGAAAGGAAGTTAGTCGAACTAATATACAATTGATGAAGACCGGAGGGTACACCAACCGAAACGTTGTGATTAGAACAGCAGTGATGAGGCCAATAGTTCGCATGTAAATAATAATAACTCTTCGTCCCAGAAATTCACACGCGTTTATTGACCCTTGTACATTTTCTGAATGTTCTATTGTATTCTTGCCAAAGTAGAACATGGTGGTTAAAATATTAAATCTATTTCTGTCTATGGATGTGTTATGGTCCGGTTCCTTTGACCACGGTGATAGTCCAAGGTAGAACCAATAAAGAAGAACTCGAATACGGATATGGAATAACACAGATATATTACAAACAGGAATATATACAGAGAAATAGAAGTGTTAGTACGAACAATCAGGTTTAGTAGGGAGAACAATGTAGTCTCGACTGGTATCACTATTCCAATGTCTTGTAGTAATTATCTGAACGCGACTCTGTTTCAGATTGCCTCTGACTCGACTGACTGACTTGCTCGCTCTGACTGACTGACAGACTCCTGACGGACTTCTGACGGACCTCACTCCAGACTTCGGACTGAACAGTATTTAGTCACCCCGCCCCCATGAGGGCATCATGTAACACAAGGCCGGTTTAACGTGGGATCTCCGAGCCCGTGGGCTCGGCCAAAAATATGCCCTTTGAACCCGTATAAACGGGTTCAGGGTCGGTTTACCTCCCCGAAAGAGACTCCGACCTTCGCCGTAGCCTCGTTCGGGTTCCTCCCCTCCCGAAGGCGGAGAGTTCAGCCAATCAGCCGATCAGCCGGAAGTCTGACTTCAGACTGAACTCCTTGCTTCCTCTTGAGGCGCAGTATTTATTACGTATGGAATAGTCCATTTCGTTATTATGGGTAAGGCCCCATAACAGAGTGTTATGATTATTTACATTATTCGGACTTATTTTGCCATATTCACAACGTTTCGACCTGAAAGTGATTGAAATTTCGAACCGAACCCTTTATTCCGTCCACGTGCCATGCCTCTTTATTTGCTTTTAACTCTCCAAGTCTTTTGTTTCACACAAACTCTTTACTGCTATCACAGGATCTAATCAACATCATTATCCACTAAGCCATGTGTCTTTGTGTACATCTTTGTATGAATT